CTACTGAAAATACAATGCTATATTCTTCAGAATAGGCCTAAATAAACCCGTCAAATTAAATATTACACTAAAAGCTACTTAATACTGTAATAGTAATACATTAATATTGGTTTTATTTATTTATTTTGTTTTAACTGTACATTAATGGTCCACAACTGGGACCAATATTACAAGGATTATAGCAAACTCAGTATTTTCTCAACATTAGTAAATGTTTTATCTATTGTTGATGGTAAACAGTATTGCCATGTAGCCTGTATGCAAGGGTAATAATAAAATCCCAACAATCAAGTACCGTTGAGTTTAGTTTCGAATCATCAAAAAGATACTACCACTTCTTTTAGATGAGAATCTGTTCAGAGATACTTTATGTTGAAGATAATGTTATTTGATATAAACTATTTGATAACGGCACAAGCAGCAGTTTTCTTAGAATCTCAAACTGCTGATTCCATACAGAACCTTGTTTATTATGCTGTTTCAGGAGCATTATAAGGCGCTGAATAAAACTTTAACCACGTAAAATAAATACATGGTACAGCGTTAAGTTTTGTAACAAAATGTATTGCCATAAACGTATTATATTGTCTGTGGTATTGCACTTTTGTAGGTTTTCAGATATACGGTATAGTGTATTATTTCATAAAATAGTATATTGGTGTATTTAAAGCTTAAGGGACTCGGGTCTCTTTTCCATTTTGTAAAGAAACTCGGTAAGTGTAGTAGTTAGTGTGAACTTTAAAGGAAATGGTATTCAAGCAGATATGTTTTTCCCGTCTGCTAGTGATTCATCCAAGAAGTACTCAATAGTATTTTCATAGGTTTTAGGGAACAAAATGAATGATCAATCATGAATTATGGTATAATTTACAACATTACAATGTTTTTACTTCATTTCAAATCAATTTCAATTTCATATTGTTAGTTTTGAAATGATAAAGCTCAATGATGAAAAACAGTAATTTTCAACCGAGGCACTACTTTTTCCTACATGGGAGATAATCGGGAACTTTTCATTTGATATTTGCAATATTATCTAGTGTCAATAATCAAAGATCAATGTAGATATTCCTGAACAATTAGGAAGAATAATATACAGTACATAATTTAAAAATATAAAGGTCCTGTATTTTAAATTACTATTGATTACCATAGTGGTTAATAAGTAATCGAAGTCCTCAGATTAAATTCAAAGCTAGAAATGTGCTCTGATATAGAGTAAGATTTTTTTTTGAGGTTGGTGACCTCTTTTAACCTTGCATTTGCCCGTCCACATAGATTTATCAGATTTATAGATTTACCATGAGACTACATACAACACTACAGATCTGTGCGTGGAACGTATCCAGCAAAGCAAGGGAGAATCGTATATTTGATTCACCTATTTTTTGCACTATTTACCAACAAAAATACTTGTAAGCTTACAACGTCAGCAATATCCAAATAAGCTTCTTATGTCTATTTTTCAGATTATTTCTTACCTAAATTTTGTTACTTATTCTTTTGGCACCATACATTCTTAACGTTTTTAAATTTTGATTAAGGCATTCATAACCACTTTTACACGTAATTTTGATTATAGATCAATCTTTAGTCGACGGATTATTCTAGAAAATCAATTTTCCAAATTCCCCCTCTAGCCTACCCTCTAATGAATTTATGACATCCTAATATTCTTCTATAACGTAGAACTAAAAAAACTTGATTACTTCTAGATGTGACTTGAGTTTCTTCACGATTTTTTTCTGAATTAATTTTCTCTCGATAATTACTTTTTCCATCTCATTTTGATATGGATACATTGTGATATTAAGCCCAATATTGCACGTTCGACTCGAATGAAACTGTATGAACGTATCGCAGAAGATTATTACACTCACATCATCATACATGATATTCGATCATTGTTGTGCTCACCACGTATTCGCTACGGCTGCTTGTCGCTATCTAATATTGTTCGGAGATGGGACTAAGGTTATTGAGTTACTGTAAATATATCACACATACATTGGTAGCATTCAGTTTGTAGTATTGAGACACTGCCAATCACAAAATGGCTTTTTAACTGGGGGAATTGCGTCATTTTATGGATCTGAACAGACTTTAACAACCTTCTAGCCTGCCTAAATAAAATCTAAAATCACTATTTTAGGGTGTTAGATAGTTCTCTATGTTGGATGATTCTCAACATTCATACACTATTTGTTATACATTTTCAAACGATTTTGACTATCTTTTGGTGAAAGGGTTTGTTATTCAAAGGTTAGTCGTCCTCCTACAAAAGCAGTCATTGTCCGGTGTCCTTTATGTAAAGACCACTCCACACTGCTGTATGTACTTTAAAATTTACCTAGTTCAAAATCTACATAAAACTAATTTTCCTCTGAAACAACCTACGTGCTTAGTCAAGCAAATTATTTTACCTCTTTTTTTTAGCAAAATGAAAACAAACAATCGAATTGATTTAACATATATTAAAATATGTCATTATTTGACTTAAGAAATGCAAATTTTATTAACACATCTTGAACCAACTAAAGTAATCATCTAAGGGGCAAAATTCGAAATCTTTATTTAAATTACCTAATTGTTTGTGGGTCTTAATACAAAAGCCACAAACTGGCCGTTTACCTGTTTATACAACATGCACATAACGTACAAATAAGAATTATATTTTTCTTTTTGAAAAAAGTGTTATTATTACAAATGAAAATGTTTATTGAGATTTTCTCAAATTTCGCAATATTTTAGGTTCCATGGCCATGTTTGAGTCATGTTGCATATAACATAAGCGTTACAGTGAGATACAGAACTAATCAAAGCAAACCCAGCCGTGCCACAAACTGCGTAACAAGATGATTCAGTTAGAGCAGTCTTGATTGGCAGATTGGCTCTATACACCTTCATCTTGTATGTGTGTGACAAACCTAATTTACCACAAACAAATTATGTAACTTTGTGCAGTCATTAAATTTAAATAATGCAAGTACACTTCCTATCCAATTGTAAAATATAGTTTTAATTGTATTGTAAGTTTTCATTCTATTGCAAAATACCACATCTTTGAGTGATTTTAGCTTCACTAAGAGTACTAATTGTCACGAAATTTTCCAAAAGTTTTCTCTGTTATATCTCAGGCGTTTACAAATACTGTTGATGAGGGTTCCGTCATAATAGTTAAACTTTCTTTTGTAACACGCACGAAGTGGTGAATACACTTTCTGCATGGACCGGACCGAGACGTATTTTTAAATTATCTGAAGCTGATATAAGAATGATAAGTCCATAAGTGGGCGATTGTTTGAGTGTGTGGATATCGATGATGTTATCGTATTGAATTGTACATTTTACAGGATGACAAAAAACTTCTTTCTCCAACTTTTTTCTGTTTTTAGATATTTGACTCCAGGCTTCCTCAACTGAACTCACCCACTATAACCCACTTTCCAACGAATTAAAGTAATCCCACTGATTATTCATCTACGGTCATCACCCAATTCTTTTCTTATCCAATGTTGATAAAAGAGTAGATTTAAATTCTTAGCAAAGTGTGAAATCGATTCAATGTTATTAGTTTAATGGTTTTGTTTTTAGTAAATTAATACACTAGTACGCAGTTATCTAATAGATTACCTACACAATTTTTTGAACAAATTGAACTCCTTACTATGTCTTTATCATGTAATGACACGATTTTCACAAAAAAAGTTAACTTGACACTATAACCACTACAGTTTTTATTCAACTTCGTTAATTATTAAGGAGTTTTTTTAGTAAACTAAACACCTCGTACTAAAAGCTGTCATGTGATTCATAATGTATCTCAACAAAAGTCTGCTGTTCCAAAGTTGAGATGAGCAAACTTTTGACGTTCGTTAACTGAAACTGACAGTTTCCTGCTTGGGCTCTGTTCTCACATATCACGAGAATCATCATTAACAACTTTATAGTGGATCAATTTACAAAAACATAAATAACAGTTAGGGTTAAAGTTTTGTGTTCTGATGAAAATGTCTATTATATACTGTGTTCATTAAACTGATGGAATAATCTATATATTATTATAATTTCTAAAGTAGTTTTCTTTTTGGGTAGACAACAACTTCATTAATCACTCACTTTTCAGTATTTTTTCGTAAAAACTATTTATTATATACACATTTAAGTATTATTCCCTATCAGGACAGCATAGATTCAAAACTTTTTGTAAATAACATATAACAACAGTATAACAATAGTATATTACGTTACTAGTCCTAAAAATAGGGTTTTTGCTGAAAATAGGTAAACACATTTTTGACGAGTGACGTACGATATTTTATGCCATACAACTTAACTTAATAAATCTGTACAAATCCTTATATATCCCCACCGACTAAAGGACTAATGATCACCACTCATATCCTCTTAGAGAGGTTATTTTGTTTATAATCACTCATTGCCAAATATAATCAACTGGTTAGTGACCAGCTCATTACAGTACAGTAGTACGTAAGTAGCTAGTTTTCGGACTAAATACTTGCGTGGTAATTTCATTTAACAGTGTAGTGTGGCGTAAAAATTACATAATACTAACAACGGAACTTTAAGGGCTCTTAGGGTGACGCCCTGTAGAAAACAATGAATACATTAATAAGTAAACCAAAATTTGAGCCTTCTAGCTTGTCGGGAAGCTGGAGAATTGGTGTCGAATGATTGAGTAGTTGAGAGCTTTGACTTTTATTATATAAATGATATGGGTTGAGAAAATTAAAAAAATAAGTAAATTTAATATGGTTTTATAACTTAATAGCATGTTAACATTACCTAATCTGCCTAAACGTGTACGTAAAATTCATAAGTTTTTTTAAAGCATTAAAAATTAAAAAATTCAGATATCTAGCTCAAAAATAATATACGCTATAAAAAAAACTCTATTTAAAACTATCGAAATATAAAAGAATTTTGTTTTTTTTTTCTGTACAATTTATCTAGATAATCGGTTATCAATAAGAACAATCTTTTACTAACAATAACAATATATTTACAAGTTTTTCATCTATTTACAGTGATATGTTTGTTGGCATGTAAGCGTCTCCAGGTTCCTGACGATCTCTTGGTAGGCTTGTTTGAAGGTTCTAAAGAATCTCCTCATATTGTTGAGCCAAACACTGTGAAATAAACAACACAGAATGTGAAAAAAATCATGTTGATAGAGGCATGGATAAATTCAAAATAAAAACTTATGATGTATGCTTTAAAAGGTTAAAGGGATTTCTCATTGGTCAATGGAAAATTTTTATAACACCCACTTTTAAAGTTAAAGAAAAATCATGAACGTTGTAAGTTGACAGAGATACAATTTAAGTATGTAAATATAGGTATAAATCTTAAGTCGTTTGAAAAACAATTTATCTAGTACCCAAATAGTCGTAATATTTTGTCATTAAGTACTATACAGTACACCATCGTATGCCAACATTAGACTTGCCAAGTTATAATCTGACTGAGAATAAAACATGCAAATTGACACAAATGAAATAATTGAACAGAGGATTAAACAATAAGATTATTTTTTAAAGACATTGTACAAGTCTTGGAAGAAAATGTCTCTCATACAAGTTTTTTCATTATTAAGCCTGTTTTTCTTCCAAATAAATTATGATTTTTTTATTAAACTTTAATTGGGTTATTGGCTATTAATGTGGCATTTTAATTGGCTCATGTTATATTTCTTACATGAAAGTGTCTCTCGTAACAATTTTGGCACCGATGCTACCAAAGAGAAGAACTTCTTTATAGTACACACATATTTGAGTTGAAATATGTCACATTAGTTTTACCAAAAGAGATAGGCCTACACAGAATTACCTTTATCTTGTCATCCGGGTTGTATCCTTACACGCCAATCTTGAGATCAATAATTTGTCTTGACAATGCATGGCTTAGAGATGCTAGGTTAAAGGCTGAAAAGTAAGGAAGAATTTTAAGATTTTAATAAGAAATAATCCATAACACGAAATATATACACTTTACATTTACGGCGTTTAACATTTAACTACATTTCTCAATTATGAGAAAATTTTAGACTTGTTCTAATTTTGGCCAAAACTAAAGATTTTAGCTTAGGGAATGGTTTTTGAAGTTATCATAGTAGTTTAAATGAGACGTTGGTTAGCATCATTCAACGATTCAACTGATTTAATGTTAATTAACTGGTCAAATATTTCAACCATGTAAACATGCAACAAGGATTATCTATATATTAATAGGCAAGCATGTTTCTTTAAAACCTTTTTTCTCAGCTCGTGTGAATCGTAGGGAAAATCTACGCATACCGTTGGAAAGCTATTTTCCTGTAGGTGTGCAGAATCCCTTTATAAATTTAAATAGGCTCAAAGATAAGCACAAAAAATGAGTTTAAAAATTTGAAAAAATTAACATGGATCTTATGCGTTGCTATGCTGGTTACGAAATAACAACGAAATATAAACAGAAAATCAAAACAAATGGAAGACATTCCAATCACATGTTTTATTTACAATGTGGGGTGAAAATAGAGAAGATTGCACAAAACATACTTTTGGTCGATTTTTCGACCACGGGGCGTGCTCTCGTTAGTATTTATTAGGTGGCTTACATTTATGTTTAAATGTATACACGAAACTCTCTCCCGAAACTCCGTAGGCATGATCCTTAGATAAAAACAAACCAAAAATATCATATAAACATATACCCTATCTCGTTTTCCATCTGTCAGGTTGTATGTATTTTTTTCATAACTTCCCATAAATTTGAAACGACTTTGAACAACTTTGATTTTAATTGTAGAATTTGTAAAGAGCGATAACAAAAATTCCGGAGAAAATGTCGTTTTTATAAAGGTAATACCTGCTAATTTATTGAATTTGCCCAAATCTTTTGTTTTAACTTCAGAAAATTTAATTTTTCTCCCTTATTTGTGTTATGACCCTATACAAATTTTACATTTCTGCAATAGGGAATTAAATTTCCATCCTTTTTGTCATTTGTATCCTTGTTATAAATCCTATGGCTTTTCATTATTAAGCTTTGAAAAATTTAAATGGCCGCCATTTTAAAATTATACAAAGTAGAAAATGGATGCTTTGCGAAAGAATTCCTATTAGTCATCATACACGTACCAAGTTTGAAGTTCGCACATTTAACTTGTTTCAAAGTTATGGGAAGCTATGTAAAAAATACATACACACTGACAGACGGAAAACAAAGCGAGATATGGCATATGTTTATGTTACATTTTTTGTTTGTTTTTTTAACCTAAGGAAAACGGCCTCGGAGTTTCGGGAGAGAGTTTCGAAACACCCTGTATAAGTCAGATTACATTTTCAATTGAAAGTAGACTTCCATGGTCATTTTTATCAAATTTAAACTCCTCTTTACGATTTGAACGTGTCGTCGAGCTGTATATATGTCAACGTATAGGAGACGCCATAGTTCTCAATCATCATAAAGTATAAATCCAGAAGTGAATAGATTGGACGAATTACTCCATACTTTAGCTTGTGTATGATGGAGAACTAAAACGCTACCAAATCGACTTTGAAACACAGCACGACGACATTGTCAAACCAATTTAAAACTTTTACAACGAAGATATAGCTAATCTGGAATGCAAAATGTTTAACAAGTTGAGTCATATTTTTTTTAAGTTCTAAAATTTAATACATTGCTTTCTCAAATATCTAGAAAGATAAACTTATGATTAAAACTTTAGTAAGAAAACAGGCTAGATTATACATCACAATTATTCAGCAATGTATCTAACATGATTAACTGTGGTTAATAATAATGTGAACGGTTTCAATACTACTGTGAAGTAAATATATGGAAATTACCTTAAAGCTGTAGCCCACAATCATGAGTAGTATAGTTATCTTTGTAACTGCTTTTTACATGATTAAATGCTTGTGATAAACCATATCCCCTTATTCATTAGTCAGCTGATCTTCATGATCTGTAACGAATAACAACCATTATTATTGACTCCGGAAACATACTATGTATCTTACCTACTGTGAATTGAATGAAATTGCTCTTTAATCTAATTTGTGTTAAATGATTTTTTTACACAAAAGTGTTGAGGTCTGAGAGGTCGACAAAATATTTCTCTAATATTTAGTAATGTGGATACTCTCTGGTGATAGTAAGGTCAGAATTATTGTAGGAAGCCTGGTAAACTAACTAAATAAACTGTAAGAATAAAAATACTCTATATATTACCAGACACGTTTAAAATGAGGTAACCTGATCCATAAAAATAATAAAAATGTAAAGGGACACTCAAACAGGTTTAATATATGCGACTCTGGAATTCAATTTAAGAACATACTCAAAGCACATTAGTTACGTTGTGATTAATTTGTTTGTTTGTTTATTTAATCATTAAAATCAACTACTTAAATTAAATTTCTACACAGCACCCTTATTCCCTATTTCTCTTCTATATTCAAACTTAATTACAACTTTTTCTACAATTTAAAATCTTCATCTCAAACCATTATTTATTGAGAACTACATTAGATTTTGCTAAGTTATACATATCTCCACCTCAATATCCAAACACTTGTTCTGCCCTGCCCCTTCTTACTCACTCAAGACTATGCATTTCCCACCAACGAACCATTGCCATGGATCTATTGGTACACAATCCCTCCAACACAAGAACAAGAACTCCAATACATATTTAAATAACTATCCAACAGTTTCCGATACTAGTACTTACCCTCAATCCTCGTCCCCGAGGTTCCTCTCCTGATCCACACAGTTCTTCTCCTGGTCCACACAGTTCCTCTCCTGATCCACACAGTTCTTCTCCTGATCCACACAGTTCTTCTCCTGATCCTCACAGTTCCTCTCCTGATCCACACAGTTCTTCTCCTGATCCACACAGTTCCTCTCCTGATCCACACAGTTCTTCTCCTGATCCACACAGTTCCTCTCCTGATCCACACAGTTCTTCTCCTGATCCACACAGTTCTTCTCCTGATCCACACAGTTCTTCTCCTGATCCACACAGTTCCTCTCCTGATCCACACAGTTCTTCTCCTGATCCACACAGTTCTTCTCCTGATCCTCACAGTTCCTCTCCTGATCCACACAGTTCTTCTCCTGATCCACACAGTTCTTCTCCTGATCCACACAGTTCCTCTCCTGATCCACACAGTTCTTCTCCTGATCCACACAGTTCCTCTCCTGATCCACACAGTTCTTCTCCTGATCCACACAGTTCTTCTCCTGATCCTCACAGTTCCTCTCCTGATCCACACAGTTCTTCTCCTGATCGTCACAGTTCCTCTCCTGATCCTCACAGTTTCTTTCCTGATTCTCGAAGTTCATATCCTTATCCTCACTGTTCCTCTCCTGGTCCTCGCAGTTCCTAACATCACCCTCAAAGTTCCTTTCATGATCCTCACAGTTCCTCTCCCCTCCCTCATTATCCACATGTCTCTCCTGATCCTCATCCTCCTGATTCCTTTCCTGATCCTCGCAATTTCTCTCTTCATCCCCATCCTCACAGCTTGACTCCTCATCATCTATGTTTACACCCCACTCCTCATCTTCAGGTCCGAGGTATCCTCTCAGGCGTTGCGTGTACTCACTTATCGTTTCACAATGCTCATCCACCTCATACAGAATTTTTGTAGTTTCATCCAACTGCAACTGCAGGTCCTCGGCCATCTTCTCAGCTAGGGAGTGCTCCCACTCTAGGATCTCCACGATCACTCGGAGAGTCTGGTCGTTCTTCACCCTCCCCTTGAGTTCCTCCAGTATCTCGCTGCACTTCTTGCTGTAATTCTCTGCCTCATAAACTTGATGACTCAGGTTCTCCTTTTGGGTCCAAAGGCATTGGTTGGATGTTATAAGCTGGTCCAATAAGCAGCCTAAAGAGTCGGCCCAGTCCTCCACCTCTTCATCGGTTAGCCCGTACCTTTCCTGTAAGTGGTTGCAATTAATTCATTACAAAAGTAAAGGATACTGAAAAATACAGTCGCAGTGTTGAAAAAAGGAAGATACAGAACCACACTTTCAAGTCCTAGCTTTAATATCTGATTTTTAAATATGTCAAAATAATGTCTGTATTAAGTAAAGTATTAACAGGCTAGGAAAATTGGGGTGTACATACGTATTTAGAATTTTCTATGAAGCCAAAGACGATATATTTCTAGTCGGTCGAGTTGAATCTGGACCTAAATGGCATTTAGTTATCGATTTTCATAAATTAATCATACCAAATTTGACATGATTATTACAAGAAAAGTTATATGTTAATAAACAGTTTTTTGTGCTCTAGGATTATAATAAAGTAAAAAGCACACTGTAAACGCCTGTTCAAACAAGATAAAAACGTTATCAAATTATGAACGTAACCGGATATGAATCATTCCTCGAAACAGAATATATATTTTACAATATAACAAGTTATATTTGTCGTATCTCAATAGTTGTACTGTATCAACTCACCACAACCCTAGAGACGTCTTCCACGGACTCAGGGAAGCTCATGTTGATGCCTACAACAAAACACAAGTTTACATTGGTTATTATCTATATATTAATATTCAAGAACTTTTCTTTAATACCTTTTCCTTAGCTTGTGTGCATCGCAGGGGAAATCTACCCATACTATTAGAAATATATTTGCCTGTAGATGTGCAGAATGCCAATATAAATTAAAATAGCCAAAAAAGCACACAAACATTTTAAATTTTAAAGAACTATCATAGCCTTTATGGGTTGCCATGCTGGTGACGAAATAACAACGAAATATATATATATATATATATACATTTTAGAAATTGGTGTCAAACTGTTAAGAAAACGTACTTTGCCGTTAGAAAATCCATGCTTACTTTCCTAAACATCAGTAAGAATCGATTCTTGAATTACAAAAACACTGGAAAATGAATACAACAATTACTGGATTTATTATCTAAATACAGTGGAACCTCGATAAGAAGACCCTCGATAACAAGTCACCCTTAATAATAAGTGTATTTTTCAAATCCCCTTGAATTTATTTTACCTAAACACATGTTATTGCAAACCTCAATAAGAAGTCATCCTTGATAACCAGACTTATTTTATAATCCCCATGAGAGTCTTGTTATCAAGGTTTAATGAAGAAAATGCATTAACTTTTGATTCCTCATAGCGTTGTATAGACTATGTGTAACAAATAATGTAATTTTATTTAAATTACCTATATTAAAGTTACAATAACTATAACCATTGACTTTATAGTCAATGCCATTTCGATTAAAGTCAAGAAATTTTTTGCAAGTACATTATTAAGTGACACTTTAATAACGAGATGACACGATTCGTCCGTTTGTAGAGTGCTTAAATTTGACCAATTTTGAAAAGACACTTGGAACACGATTTTCTCGACATATTTTGTCTATACTTTTCGTTATAAAACAACTAAAAAAATACAACACATTGACTATTGAGGTTGTGTTTTGTGTCGTAGATGCATCATTGAGGCACAGAAAAGGAATACTGTAAATATAGAGTCTGTGTCTATTCTATTCCCATGTCTTGGATTGAGACTATGAGATAAACAATGTGATTGCCAACTTCAAACTTGGCAAACAAACAATACCTTCCGTTTACGTACTGTTTAACATCTTCATGAGTGGGCAAACTACTTCGTTTCACAACTAAAAATGATCATTTTATTGTTTATATATAATATTGTACATTGAAATTATACTATCTACCTACGGAATTTTAGATGATAAGCCCTAATCCCAATAAAAGTGGCTTGAACTTTGTTTTTTTCAGTTGTCATCTTGAGTAATCTGTTTTGCTCAATTGAGTGAAAAATGCTACTTTGTACGACAACTAACAGTAGAAAATAGTATATCATCGCTAAGGCGAAAAGACATTTTTGCCTGTGTGATGAACTTAGAACTATATTTTTTCGTCATATTGCAACATCATTTAACAAACGAAGTTAGAAAACTAAAGTACTGTTCATGAACTAAAACGACTTGTTATCAATTTTGGTAATGCAAAATAAGCAGCTGTTTAGTATTGTAAGTTATTCGATCATTTCGTATATTACGATTGCCTCAATGTATACTATCAATATGTCGAACTATTGCCAACTATGCAACAATGAGCTACAGTGCAACGATTAAATCAATCGATAAGTAATTTCGATAAATGCGATTGCTTTTTACAAATGTTACCAAATGCAGTTTTTTACTCCCTAGGGACTAAAAAGGATTTAAACTCACTAGGGAGTAAAAAGGATTTAAACTCACTAGGGAGTAAAAACGGTATACTACCCGCAACGCGTGTACATATTAAAAACTGCTGTTTCTGCTGCAGTATAAGGAAAAAACTTAACTTAAATACTGAAACTGATGAATTCCAACTAATTAGACTAGCAGTAATAAACTAATTTAACCTCAAAAACACAAATTAGTCTAGCGAAAAAGTTAATCAAATACAAACTCACTTGGCTGATCCCACTTCGAGGTCAATGCTACAAGGTTACAGGAAAGTATCGTCGTATCGCGAAACTAACGCGATTGCGACACGACACGAACAAAATGAGTTGACCCCGCGCCGGTACCGGTACCACTCCACTGTAGCCGTAGCCTACTGCTACTGGTGTAGTGGTGTGGTATAGTGTGGTGTTGTGGAATGAATGAATCGGGCCGCGGACCGGTCTCAATTCCAACGTTCCTCACAGCTGGCGATAGGAGGGGACGGGAATATCCGGCATGAGTCAGCTGTGGTGCAACTGTCAGCTGACGTAGCTGTGACGTCATAGTGACGTAGACACTAGACTTGGCAATGGCATATCAGAGCGTTCGAAACAGCTGTTTCAGAATCCCATACAGTAATTACACACATACAAATCACGTACTCATGTGTAACGTTAAGGTTATGTACTCAGATTGTAATGTAAGCTTGCATAAAATTAGTAATCCACGTCAACATTTATTTTGGATACTGCAATTAAACTTCAGATGACACTAATTGATGATACAGTTTTTTAAAGCAGCATTGTTAACACAATAAAATGATCGGTTAGTCTTCTGACAGTGCCTGATTTGAACGGATAAAATTACTTCCTTTTATGCTGTTTATTATTAAATAATGCTACTACACAAGTATGCATTTTTGCATATTAAGGTTGGGTAAGAAAGAAAAAGTCTATAATCAATTAATCAACCAATCAATTATTAGGGATGGGGACGCCACTATGTGCGTATTTTAACCCAAATATGAGAGAAGGATGAGTGTAGGATAGGTTGTGTTAATCATTGACTATACAGGGTTAGTAAAAAGTGTGGAGACCCCTTGTTATTTTTTTAACGGCCCATACTAGAAAAACTAAACTTGGCACACCATTATGGCATGTTATGAAGTAATTTTTGGGCAAAACCGCCACTTGGCGTTCATCCCCAAAATGGGGGATTTTGGGGAAACTAAAAAATTTCAAATACAGAGACCCATCGAGTGACCGCTCATTTTGAAGGTCCTGGTAAAAGAAAACCAACAACGCAAACTAGAGGTCTCTATCTCAGTTCAGTAAAAAATGGCAGCCAATTGAAATTCTCATAAGTTCCCAAACCCAAAATGGGGGATTTTGGGGGAAACTCAAAACTTTTAAATGATAAGCCCCATCGAGTGACCCCTCATTTTGAAGGTCATAATAAAAGAAAAGTAACAACGCAAACTATAGGTCTTAACACAGTAAAGTATGGCAGCTAATTGAATATAAAATTGCAAGTTATTGTCAATTTCTAAAGATTTCAATCAGCTTCCATTTTTTACTGGATTGAGATAGAAACCTCTAGTTTGAGTTGTTAGTCTTCGTTTACCAGGACCTTCAAAATGAGGGGTCACTCGATGGGGCTTATCATTTAAAACTTTTGAGTTTCCCCCAAAATCCCCCATTTTGGGTTTAGTAAGCAAGTGGCTATTAGGCTTAAAAAGTACTTCATAACATGCCAAAAAGGTGTGTAGATTTTAGTTTTCCTAGTGTGAGCCGCTACAAAATTTACAGCAGGTCTCCAGACTTGGAAAGCTGTAAGTTAAATTGAACTTCTGAGAATTTCAATTGGCTGCCATTTTTTACTGGATTGAGATAAAGACCTCTAGTTTGCGTTGTTGGTTTTATTTTACCAGGACCTTTAAAATGAGCGGTCCTTCGATGGGTCTTTGTATTTGAAATTTTTGAGTTTCCCCCAAAATCCCCCATTTTGGGGATGTACACCAAGTGACGGTTATGCCCAAAAAGTACTTCATAACGCCATAAAGGTGTGCCGAGTTTAGTTCTTCTAGTATAGGCCGTTAAAAAATTAACAGGGGGTCTCCACACTTTTTACTAACCCTGTATATACCTACAGGTGTTAATATATAAACATTGACTTTATAAAGTCAATGATATAAGTTAAAAATTATACATAAATCTCGTTAAAATTCGGAGTATACTTGCTTTCGTTTCAGAATAATTACAAATAAAAGAGATGAAAAGGAGAGATTTTTTCACCACAAAATGTTTACGTTGATATGTTAATCGTCTGCTGACTTCTTGACATGGGTTTGTGTCAAGGTTTTGTACTAGTGAGGAATTTTAAAGGAGTACTGAAAGGCTTTCTTTCACGATGAAGTATTTTTTTAAATTGTAAATATTTTAAGATTGGTTTTACGTGTTAATTTTTTAAATGTTTAAATTCATTTTTTGTGCTTATTTTTGGGCCTATTTTAATGTATAATGGGATTCTGCACATCTACAGGAATATATCTTTAATTTGGTACAGCCGCGTGTAATTCCGTCCAGTGGTATGGCCAGGCTAGCTGTCATAAGTCTTGCAAAAGTTTTTTAGTATATAAGATGATCATGTAGAACCCCTATAATTTTGTTCACTTTAAGGCGGCATTATCTGTGAAATAAATAACTTCTCAATCAGCATATTTTACGAGTTTGCGTTATGATACTACTGTACTCTAATAAAATAAATCTTCTTATGATTAGTCTAGGAGGCTTGACCTGATGATGACTGGTGTGACTAATCAAAATCATTAAATTTTTGTACTGTATTTATATTTACCGTCCTATAAATGTTTACTGCATAACCAGATATGCAAAGTTGTCGGAAGATGTGTTTAATACATTCGTATAACACGAGTAAATCAACAGTAGTTCTATTAAAACTTGTAAATATATTTGTTTTTGTAACAGATAGATTATTTTATTTCCTTGATCTTTTACAAACATATCCAAAACTGTATTTTTCTTATTAAAAACTAATGCAGGTGACAACTTCTATTTTATTTGAATCAATGGGGGAAAAAAGTGTTCATAACCATCAGTAATATTTAGTTACTTATTAAAAACCTCTTCTGTAAATAATGGTTACAAACACAGTTTAAACTAGAAATGACCCAATCATCTTTATCCCAAAAAAATAAAAGGGCTGAACATTTTACAAGAGCTACTAATATTTTTCTTCGTGAAAGTAATTGGAATACATTTGAACTAAACGTCACAAAATCAAATATTAAATTAACATAGTTTTCTTTGTGTGCGTTCTTTATTACAAAACTTAAATTACAGAGTTTTACCCCGCACGTTGTTGTATAAAGTTGAATTACTTTGTATAACAGATTTTTTTAAAGTCCATACAAGACAACCAATAATTATTAATTTATTTTCGCTTATTATACTACTTTTTTACGCCAGTGGCATTTCACGAGAGAATAAATGTTATTATTTTTGTATTGTTTTTATTTATTTATTCTTATTGCTTTTTAGCAATGATGGATATTTTTTACAATGATATCTTCCCAAGTCACCCTATACAAATTATCTCTGGCGTAACTAAATATTTGGTCATGACGAATTTATTTTGCCAGTCTTTCTAAAAATCTGAAATGTTGTCTTAAGTCAAATATTTGAAGTCATTCCACCTGTCTAGTATTCACTCGATAATTCCGACATTTAAAATAAACATTTGTCTTAAGAGGCCATTCTGTTTGTATTGAATGTCTCAAATCACAGCGAAAGAGGTAGACATAATGTTGGATTCATTGCGTTTTTGACGAGTTTCCAGTCGTTCAATCAGATGTTTATAGCCATGCAGTAAACCTACAATGTTTGACAAACATTGTTGCCATAGAAACCAACATTGTTGACCGAAACTATTTTGGTCTGTCACCAATGTCAAGTTTAAAATTGAAACTAACTCATACAATTAATTACAGGTAAAAAAAATGTATATGTTGAACTGAAAATCTATGTATATGGTTATCAATCTTAAATAGCAATACAAATGTAGATTCAAAATTAGCTAAAAATATATCTGTTAATTAAAAAATATGGTGCTTGTTAAGTAGCTAAATGAATTTTCATATTAGTTTGTAATAGGGAAATCTTTAATACAAATACTGTTATAACAACTAAAAGATCTATTTTTCGTTAAATATAGCGAACAACATAAGGGAGACACTAATTCAATGGTTTGGTGCTTTAGATTTGGCTTTGTGAGGACAGATTGAACTAATGTTTTTTACGATAATTTCAAACATTTATCTTTTTTTTCAATTCACTGTTAGTATAATTTGTCGATATATGAAATGCAATGAAAACTGTGTATCCTGTAGGGGAGGGGGGGGGGGGGGTTCCACAAACGGTAAAGCACAGTTCCAGGTATAGGCATTACCATAAATACCATAGTAATAGCTACTCCCTCTTGGAAAAATCACTTAAAAACAGCTTAACGCGTCCCAATCACAAGTGAATATGAATATGTTTACTGATAAATACTGTATTGTAATAGGTATTTTTATTTTAGCTGGCCACACGAAGAGCTTCGCAAGATTAATCTACAAAAGATTTTTCCTAACACCATAATTGAATTTTAATAACACACACATTCACTTTTAAGTATTATATACAATTTTTTTTAGCTTATGTTTGCTTTTTTATTGTTATTTGCTTTGTTATCATACCAGATCTGCGGCTGTGGTTGGTGTAGAAACGACAACAGTGAAAACAGCTGACGTTGGCAGCACTGGCTGTAAATCAGCTGGTCAGCTGTTGTACTGTTGTATCATTAAATGTAATATTAAAAGTTCATTTCTGTGTAAAAATATGTCCCGTTTCTTTACCAATTTATTTGTTTTATGGTAACTGTAAGAAAAATATAATGTGCAACTCGAGTGCAAAGTGCAATTGCCACACTCGAGAAGCCATTCCTCACTCGTCTACGGCTCGTGAGTAAGTATTTATCTTGAGTGAGTCAATTGCTCCCTTTGCTCACTAGTTGCACAAATAACTATTGTATACTGTTTACAGGTATGACAATGTGATAATTTTCATGCAGTGGTAGGAAAATAATAATTCCGGTGTGTTCTCAATGTGCCTTTAAACCAAAATTTGTATACATAACACATTTTATGGCCCGATGTGTATAGTAAGGGTGGTAAAGAGCATTAATATTCAACAATATCACGTTATGACCAGGGCGGTCATTATATGAGTTGACCACATCTCGCTGCTGCGTACCGTCGTAAAATTTACGACTGAGTTTGCGGCATATTTTACGATATTTTGTATAACAGTGTGCATGCCCGTTTGAACACTGTCATTTTATGCATGAAA